AGAGAGAGAGAGAGAGAGAGAGAGAGAGAGGGAGGGAGGGAGGGAGTCTCAAAATGCCCCTAGAAGATATGGGCACAGTGGAATGGCCTTTTGGACTGAGATGTTTGTGTTATCCCCCTGTCAGGTGGGTGTGCGAATTCTCTTGGCCTTGTGCAATTGCACCTAGGAAAACTTGGCAGCGTCCAGTAGGGGTACATTGCAAGGATGGGGTCCAACTGATGGCTGGGGTGTGTTGCAAAATGTTTTTGTCATACTAGTCGTTCGTGTAGCTGTGGCAGGTCCACTTGTTTTTTTGGAAAACTCAGGCTCTGGGGAGGCTCTGACGCGAATGCATATGGACCCGAGAAGCACACCGATTCAAGCAGGAAGTGCAATAGCTCACTTGGTGGGCGCATGTGTTCTACTGGTTCCTGTGTCCCAGACACAGGGAGTGCAATAGCCCAGTTGGTCGGGCACCTGTATTCTACAGGTTCCTGTGTAGCAAGACACAGCAAGACACAGGCTGCGGGTTTAAGTCCTGGCTGGCTCGAATGAGTGTCCACGGTTGGAATCGCCATACTGGACTCCAGCGCATTTGCGTCCCCAGCCGGGTACCCCCAGGGGGACAGTCGCAGGCAGTGCAATAGCCCAGTTGGTCGGGCACAGGTTCCTGTGTCACAAGACACAGCAAGACAGGCTGCGGGTTCGAGTTCTGGTGGATCGAGTTGCGTCCCCAGCCGGGTACCCCGGGGGATAGTCACAGGCAGTGCAATAGCCCAGTTGGTCCGGGGCCTGTATTCTACAGGTTCCTGTGTCGCAAGACACAGGCTGCGGGTTCGAGTCCTGGCGGGCTCGAATGAGTGCCCGTGACTGGAGTCCGCCATAATGGACTCCAGCGCATTTGCATCCCCAGACGGGTAACCCACACGGATCGTCGCAGGCAGTGCAATAGCCCAGTTGGTCGGGCGCCTGTGTTGACACAGGCTGTGGGTTCGAGTCCTGGCTGGCTCGAATGAGTGCCCACGATTGGAATCCGCCATACTGGACTCCAGCGCATTTGCATCCCCAGCCCGGCACCCCACCAGGGGATCGTCGCAAGGCTTGTAGGTGTTGTATGGGGCGTCCCTCCGGTCCAGTGTCCTGTTGGCTGTGCTTGCAATATACGCTGACTGAGGGACAGCATACCATTGGAAGTCACCCGCCTCGAAATATCCCGCTCTTCCCCGGGTGTGTGGTGGGAGTGTGATTATAGCACTGGCCATCAAGGTAGGGCCTGCCTATACCTCAGCCTGCACAACCTTAAAAAAAAAAGGGAAAAAAAAAAAAGCAGGGAGTATGCCATTGTGTTGCTTGCAAGAACAGCCAAAAAGAAACATCTCAGGCTTAGCTAAAGAGTTAAAAGAGAGCTTAATAATCAATGGAAATGAGGTTATTGCATGGATTCCCGGAGAAGGGATTATTTACACGATCACTCGTTTTTTCCTTTTTGATCACTCTGTTGCTATAATGGTTCAAGGACGTAGAGTCGAAGATTTGCGTGGTGGTACCAACTAGCCTACCTCAGTTGGTACACGCCTGAACTGTTGTAATACAGGGGCCAAGTCCCACTAGAAGGCATGAGTTTCCTCAGCGCCTGAATATGGATGTGTTTGTGGAGGTGTACAGAAATCACGTAGAGTTTCCTCAACCGCACATTTCCACAAACACCTCCAGATTCAGGCGCTGAGGAGACTCAACCCTGCTAGTGGGACTTGGCCCCTGGTCTGAGTTCTAACTCCAGTGGAAGCAGATGAGTAAAATACGACGATTCTTTTTTTTTTTTTTTTTTCATTTATTAAAAGCAAGTAGGATAGGAGCTGGGACCCCACAATTCTACCCGGAGTTATCCCGACAGCATCAGCCGGTTTAGCTTACGAGCCAAAGCTCACCTTCCATCCAATGAACCAAACAAGCTTGACTATTCTAAATCCAAACACCATACCGAAATACTACGCTTCTGAATTACCTAGGGCCGATCAGTTCTATGATCATATCTGAAGGCCGTTACCTTTTTTTTTTTTTTTTTTTTTTTTTCCGTTACCTTTTTTAAATAAAAAGGAGGAAGATTTGTCACAGTGGTTAAAAAAAAATAAAAAAAATCGTTGTATTGGACGAGTGAAAGACCTACTAAGGGCCAGATCCCACTTGCAAAGAGGATTGGAATAAGTGTGTGAATCTGGACGTGTTCCACACAGAGATCCAGAAAAGCAAGATCAATCACAATCTTGTGCACCTCTCAAAAAACACGTCCAGATTCAGACACTTAATATTCCAATCCTCTTTGCCAGTGGGATCTCGCTCTTATGATCCCAGGTTATTCGTTCATGTTCTGAGCAAGAGTCAAATTCAATCTCTTCGTGGAACTGCTTTGTTTCTTAGAGAACGGTGGTCTGTTAGGTGCTTGTCCTGAGTTGGGGTCATTGAGGAGAAGGGGGCTCCTCTCGATGGGGGCAGCTCAAGGAGAGGAGGGCGACGGATTTTGGTAAGAGAGAGGGCAACACTATCTCTCTGTATACCGGAGAGGCACTGTCTACTCTTTTCCCCTCGGTGTTGTGGAGAGAACAGGAGGGTAGTTCCAAAAAAAATAAAAAAAATCTACTCCTTTCAGATGTTGTCAGTGGCATCTTGATTGGTTCTGAATTTTCAGTTTGGATAGTTTTCATTGTTTCAGCTTCTGTGTAATAATTTGGATAGATTTCATTTCTCAATTGGAGTAGAGGATTTTAATTTTTCGTTCGGTTTTGGGAGGTGGTATTTCAGGTTTGTCCGTCCCATATGGAGAGAGTTGGGATGGAGGTTGGGGAAACCACTATTCTGCTGGGACTGGCTTTTGGTGGGAACTGCTCGTCCTTGAGGGAGTGGTGGTTCTTTAGGGGGCTTGTCCGGAGCTGGGGTCAATAAGGGGAACGGGTCGCCCCTTGACGGGGGCAGTTCATGGACAAGAGAGAAGTTTTGTTTCTGATTAGAAGGTAGGGAAAATCTGTCTCTCCGCATGATGGTCCACGTTTTCCTAAATGATTCTGGTGCTTTATCATAGTTCTCAGTTTGTTCTCAGCCGAATGCCAGGTAAGGGCCCTGGTATCCTGAATCGTTTCTAGAATCATTTGTATATTCCTATATGGGACGCTGGGCCCGGTTCCCAGCATGTGTTGCTCCCCACGAATAGATTGGAGCTCTTTAAAAAAGAAAGAAAGAAAAAAAAAAGATTCTGTATAAGGGACGCTGCACCTGATTTCCAGCAGGTGCTGCTCCCCACCAATAGATTGGAGCCAGCAGGAGGGCTGCCATCTGGAGGGCTGCAGCTACTGGTGGGAGCTCGTATCACCACCACCAGCAGGGTCGACTGATGTTGGGGAAGAAAAAGAAAGAAAAAAGGAGAGTAAAAGACTTGCAAGGAATTCCTAACAGACGTCCACGTAAAAAACAAAATGGTCCCAAAAAATAACAGCAGATCAAAATATGGTACCAAAAAATCCACAATTGAAATATGAACTTCAACTTCTCTTTTTCTTTTTAAACACATTTCAGTTTTTATTAGGGCCCAGTGCCCAAGGCAATTATTCACAAAGTGAAAATCATTCCAGATGCAGGGGCCGCAAGGTCTCCAATCCTCCTCTGTGAGGTGAGCCCCTCCCCTGTAGCCAAAGGCAGGAAATCGATAAAAGGTATACAAAACTTCCTAATTCGAGTACAAGTACTCAAAATCTGAAGTAATACCTACTAAATTACAATGCCTACAATAACACAATAATTAAAGAACAAGGAGAAAATCTGCCAACATGGTGATATCTACACTATATTTATCTACGATATTATCACTATTAAAACAAAGGAAACTGTCTATCAAGCAAAAATTATTACAAAAATGGTCACTAAAAGGATTGAAGACTGTCAAAATCATAGTGGAAAGAACATGAATGATGATCCACTGCAAAGCCCCTGTGATTTGGCCGCCATTTCACTGATGTCTGCAAGAAGGGTCCAAACCGGAAGTCTCCGGTGCAAGTATCAATGGTTACCTAAGAGGGGCAGGCTGCCCAGTGCTTCTGAAACCATGAAACCCCAGCACACAGTCTCATCGGCTTTCCAAGTTGCTGTTTCCAGTCTAGGTAGATGATAGGCTCTCTCTTCAAAAAATGGTTCCAAAAAATAAGGGCAGAAAATCCAAAATTGAAATATGAACTGAAAATTCTCACAAGTCTCTCTCTTCAAGCCTCTTTTCTTGGCCCAATCACAGACAATTGGAAACATTCCTCATTGCCGCCACGTAGGATCGCCACAGAAAGAAAATTTTAAATGAAAAAAAGGCGAAACTACTCGAGAGTCGCAAAAATGAGTTATAATTGCACTGCGGGCGAAGATGCAGTTTCGAATTGCAGTTCGGGCAATGTATACAGCCCAGCTTTCTGGCCAGGTAGGGTGCCCGAAGTGCAATTGCAATCTGTATCTTGCCCATGATAGTGCACTTATAACTCGCTTTTAAATTTCAACTTTGTTGTAACTCTACTGAGGTTATCCCACCCCCACTCCACCATGCTAACAACAGTACGACATTCAATTTGTACCTTTTGCCCAGGAATAAGGCTAGATTCAGTCAGGCTAAAATTTCACAGGGTGAGTAGTGAGTCAGGATTAGCAAATCAAGGTAAGATTTGCACACTGACAGGATGAAGTAAGGTCGCACGAACTTGAGAGACATTCTTTTTTTCTCTCAAGAATATGAGGGACTATGTTTGGGCACCCGCAAGGCCGAGCCAAGCAAGGTGGCTCTAGGCTCCAGGAGAGCTGGCCTAAGTCTAGCTTTAATATGCGCCCATCCGAGGTTCCTACGTACAAGTACTCGTCGTCAGGAGAGATCACCAGGCCCCACATGCCCTTTCTCCGCCGCCTGGCAACGATCTGGTAGGACAAAGGACTGCCACACGAGGAGTCGAGAGCGATGAGATGCAGCTTGCCGCCCGAGTCTGTGAAGAAGACATTTCGACCGTCCGATGTAACAGCAATCTCCATCAGAGAGTCCTGACTTCCAATGGAGATTCTGAAGGGAAATTACTGTTCTCTTCCGGCGAGAGGTATCAGTTTGCGAGAGGCGATGTGAAGCGCCCACACTCTGTTAAACGTTCCGCCGTCGTCCAGGAAGTACAGGCAATTCCCGTCTGCCGGGAAGCTGTAGGGGCCAAACGCTGGTCTGCTGAAGTTGTCAGGATTGAGCGTAAGGAAGACGGTGGTGTTCAGCGACGCCGGAAGAGGACTCGAACCAGCGACCTCAGCCACGAGAACCCGGGGCGGGCCGAACACGTCCGCCATGTACAGCGCTGTGTGGTTGGGACTGAAAGCCAGGCCGTAGATCCATTGTAGGCTCACTGGAGTGGAGAGCCGAACTCCAGAGAGGACATCCAAGGAGACCACCCAGGATGTCCCGGAGGGGTCAAAGGGGTAGGCAGCCATGATCAGATGGCTTTCGTCAGACGACAGAGCTGCAGTGCCAATGTTGGCCTGCAATAGTTCGCTGAAATTATTACCAATAGGTGGAGACGCCGGAGGGGGGCCCGAGGGACTGGCGACAGACCAGAAGTAACTGAGGAGTCTGACCTGTACATGAGGACTGGGCTATGATTGCTGAGCTGGCGGAGAGAGGCTGACCATGCTGCTCGAACTGGCTTCGAAGCTGACTGCCATAATTGACTTGAGATAGTCAGTGGTGTAGAACTCCGCTGTGCTACAGAAGTCAGCGACCAGGTAGTACAGCCCGGACACATTGGGATTTGAACTATGTTGTGGATCATAGAAGAGCAGTCCAAAGCCGCTTACGAGAGCCCAGTCTCGTTTGCATACTTAAGCAGTGCGTCAGGCACTGGCTGGTGGACCAAAGGTGTGCAGGCTGTGATAACCGAGGCATTCAAGATGGTGACGCAGGGAGGGACATCGGGTTTCACAGGAGAGGACGCAGGTGCGCTACTACCGGTAGCCTGCAACAACCGCTCACTTGAACGCTTGCCAGCGAAGAGCAATGGGTCCTTAACAGCGGCTTCCTTAACAGCGGCTTCAACAGTGCTGATCAGCCCCCCTCCTCCTCCTCCTCTTCCTGCAGCACTGAGTGTCACGTCCAGACCGCAGCATATAGCCACCATCAGCAGCGGCAGAAGCAACCTCTCACTGACAGAGACTTGTGAGAGAGACAGACGTCTAGAGGTGCGGACCGCCGTTCGAGCGGGAGCTGCTTCCCGACTGCTGCGGCCTCCGAGCACCGCAGTTCCGACTTCAGAAGCTGAACGGCTGACTCCTCGAAGCCCCGCGTCTTCATCTCCTTCAACTCCAATCAGGCCCCCAGAACCTTCGCTGCTACCTAGACTGGCCATGGTCGCGGCTGCGTGACAACACTGACGAGCAAGCAACTCCCAACGAAAGAGAAGCCCACGGAAGCGAGGTGAAGAACCTCAGATGCTTTTCCAAAGCCCGCATACAGTCTGAAACTCCATCGGTAGTATCTCTTTCACCCTCAGCACAATTTATATTGCTCTCTCTCTCTCTCTCTCTCTCTCTCTCTCTCTCTCTCTCTCTCTCTCTCTCTGTGTGTGTGTGTGTGTGTGTGTGTGGTGCCGAATTGGATGTACACAGCTCCACAAAAAAAGAGACATTGCTTTGCCTGATTGTTTCCTGGAATTATTACCCACTCATCTGGAGCCTTCAGAGAAAAGCGGTTGATATTACTCACAAGAGCCCTGCAACCCTTGCAGACTGTAGCTCTTAACCCTGACAAGAATGGCAGTAAGTCTCAGAAACTCGTCTTTCACAACCATAAAACCCGTTCTACACACTCATTCAGCCACGCATGGGTGTTGTATACACCAGCCATGTGTGTGTGTCTATACTTCGATGGG